GCAGTATTTATTTTTTTCTTGGTGTTTTCTCCCAGTCACCTAACAAAACTGACACATGAGGTATATTCTAGGTAATTATGGAAGGATACAGTACAGCATATCTAAATTGAGCCAGAAATATTTTAGTTCAGATCTTCACAGCTTTGAGCTTTCTTGTTTTATGAAAAATAAAGCATTTGATCTTGGGATTGTGAGTAAAATCATGAAATCATCTTCTATAAAGCCGATTTTTTTTTTTTAATGCTGGGTAGAGTTTTGGTTTTTGTTGTTTTTGTCTATTACTTCACATATAGCAGATTTAATTCAGAAAGCAAACTGTTCTACAGGCCCACTGGAAAACCACCACCAATTGTGAGAGCCATTAGAGTTAGCTTTGAGAATCCACCCTTCATTACACTAGCTTCCCTAATGTTAATGATCACAGCACTGATGAAAAATTGCTGGTTCATGACCTCTACTGGCTCTAAGCAAAGGACACCCAGGACTGCCTCCTCTCAGAGAAGCAAAGCATTTCGGACAGTGAAGAGTTTAAGGCGACGTGGGGATGTTTTGCTCCGAAGACATGAGGTCTGAAGAGGATTACTGTGTGTTCTAGCTAACGGGCAACACAGGAGTGAGGAAAATGCCAGGAATTCCTTGGCTCATCAAGAAAGGCAGAAACTAAAAATTACACAAGTGCTTTGGCTCAGGAGCTAGAGGAGGGCTGCCAAGTTCTGGAGATATTCCCTAAATCCGCCATGAATACTGGGCATCCAGTGGGACTACAGCTGACCATCCCAGAGCTTGGCTTCAGTTATCATTGAACTGCAAAGGGCAGAAACAATACCTTTGGCTAAAAAAAAAAAAAAAAAAACACAACAAAACACTGATTCTTCATTTTCTATAAATGGAAAATAAACACAGAAGATAAAAGGAGATATAAAGCTACTTTCACAGCAACAGGGTACTTGCTTGCAATTCAGCCAAAAACAATTTGTTATGTTTATGCACATACAAAAAATGCCAGCCAAAAATCCAGATGTTGGATGAACATGATCAAAATATGAATCTAAAGGGTAATAATGTGAATTATTAATTAGCTTTTTACCTTTTCTCAATGAAGTGTTTAACTTAGTCAAAGATAGAGGATATATTATGAATGCTGCAGGATATGCCAATTCAGCATAACCCAATACAGAATATCCACAAAACTGAAAAAATATAGGGGTGGTGAGGACAAGGAAGGGTAGAAAATCTTACTTGCCCTTATAGAATATGCTCCATTTATAGTTTAATTCTAGATGTTCCACAGCTTTGGTCAGAAGCCTCAGCTTAACTGAAATGTTATTTCTTTCTCCACTTTATTAGGAGTGATACCATAAAGGCATTGCTTCAATCTTAATGTTCTATCTGCTATGAAATTGAAAGAAGCTTGGTTCTCTTCATTACAATGCACATTGACAGGATGGCTGGATAGAAGCTATATAGCCTTTTCTATGCATCCACATGACAATATTCATTTTTCTCTGAGTAGGAAATTTTTGCATGAAATGGTTACTGTTCCATGCATCTTAATATTACTTTTAATAATGAAAACATTTCTCCTCCATTTCATTGTCTAGGGCTCTTTTTTCCCTTCTTTTCTCTTATAAGTTCATGATGCTATTTTGTGCCTGATTTTGTAAACTTGCATATCCTCATACATGCATTAAAATAGTATTTTCTTTTAAGTATTTCTGAAACCTTTCACATAACTAGTAATTTCCTAAAATAACATGCACCTGGGGCAGTAACCATGGAATATGGGCATCATTACGTGGTATCTAGAGCTTACGAAGAGGATCTCAGCTGAGACCCTGTAACTTGCTGGTTTGCCTTGATTCATGCCAGATCCTTACCATTCACCTCTCCATAGAGACATCTGAGTGAGCCTTGTAAGACCCTCACATCACATCTCACATATACAACTCAGGTTATATTCTACAGACTTTCAGAATCAAGTACAAACTCATTGTGATTTTCAGGAGCCTTAGCTATCCAACTCTGGCCTACTTATAAACCCTAATTTGTGTCAGGCCTTTATGTGATGTGTGATTCCTGATCCATCCAGATATACAAACACCTAAAAATTTGGTTTGAGTATTGCAATATCCAGGCAAAGAACTGAATGCTAGTGATACAATGGTACACAGACATATTTTCAGAGAGAGATAAGTAATAAGGTAATACAATCATGGGCGACATGTGGGATGCTGGAAATGCAGAAGAATGATCTACCAGCTGAGACTGGAATTGAGTGTGATGACCTCAGAGAGTGTTATAGTTTGGATCTTCATTACAATGCACATTGACAGTATGGCTGTCAATGTGTATCTCCCAAAGGCTCTATATTAAAGGCTTGTTCCCCAGTGTGGAAAACTTTAAGAGGGAGGCCTAATGGGAAGTCTACGCCATTGTGAGTGTGCTCTTGAAGAAGATTATGAGACCCTGGCCCCTCCTCTCTTTTTGGCTTCCTGGTCATAAAAAAAAGTGTATTTTATTCTCCTTGTGCTCCTGCTATGATGTGCTGCCTCGTCCAAGGCCCAAAGCAATGGGGCCAATCAATCATGGATTGAAACCTTTAAAACTGTGAACCAAAATATCATTTTTCTCTTTATAAGGTGATTATCTCAGTTATTTTTGTTATAATGACAAAAATCTGACTAACACATGATTTCCATTCAAAACTAATATCTAAGCAAAGACCGAAAGAATATAGAGATATCAGTCAGCCAGATAGTATAATCATGACTAGTCATCCAGTAGAGAGGGGTCTTTCTAATGTCTTATAATCAGCAACATTTTTAAAAACTAATTATTTCACGATGGTTGCAATGTAGGACTATGGTGCAGAATGAATGATTGGCAGCTCCCCTATTATGTCTTCCCCTTCAATCCTCTGTCCCCACATACTTAAGCCCTCTTCTTATTGTCTGCAAGAGGAGCTCCCAGTCTTTACTTCATGTACTACATTCTCAGAGTATTCTCCACCCTTATCATCATCCTGCACTGACAAAGACTCCTTGACTTTTCTGACACTTTCCCTCAATTATACCTGCTTTGAGGGTGTCTCCATCATTTGTTTTTTTTCCTCCTAGCAAGAGCAAGGGACATAATGAAAATGTATTTGAGTAAAAAGGAAAAGAGATGGTTAAAAAACCTCATCTTTTATACTTGCAATCTATCTACAAATGCATTGGTCTGCATTGTAAGATAGGCAATCAGATCTAGACATGTATTAGGGAATGGAATTGATTCAAAACCTTTCAATGAAAACATGGGTGACTCATGGGGTCTTTATCTCCTTCTGATAACATACAAAGGGAATAGTGATTTAAAAAAAAAAAATCCTAAACAGAGCATGAAATATTCTAGGGAAAATACTTAATTAGAGTGGAGAAAGAATAGAAAACAATGCAAGTATTGGATCTCCTTTGAGCAAGAGGAAGGAGTTCAATCATTGTGCAAAGCATATTTTAAGAAGTCTTTGGGGGACCTGAAACATCAGAAAAGAAATACAAAGCAGGACATTTGCAGAGGAGTTCCTTTCTCTTGACATAGTATCTTCTTTTAGAAGTAACTTTCCTTTTAAAATTAAACAAAACAAATTATAATCAGCATGTTATGTTAGGTCAGAAGGATACTAGTAAATAGCTTTCCTGCTGGTGTCACAAGAAACTGTTGAGCTGAAGCACCTCAGTTCTGTGTCCCAATGAAAGAAAATTTACAGTGTAGTGCAAAAAGTCAAGCAAGATAATTTTATTATAAGTGAAAATAAACTAAGGCTCAAGCAAAGAGCTCTCTAAAGAGAGACTGTGTTGTCTCTGAGCAGAAAATGACAAAGAAAGCTACTCTATTTTCTAATTTGTTACTTTGATATTTCCCAGGAGAACTGGATTCCACCTTCTGCAGTCTTTACCAATCTCCTCCTTCATACTGGAGGGAAGTTTTTGACCCTACTAGGTCCTAACTGGAACTGTCATGACAACCAATCTATTCATGGAGGCTTCATCTACAAGTTTTTAATCCTGTGTTCTCGTGGGTGCTGAGGTTAATGATGGGACAGACTTCATTTTAGTAAGCCTGTGCTACTAAAGGAATTTCGCTTCTGAAATACACTGAGAAACCTATGACCATAAATCCTAACTTTACAATGCCTTCAGTAGACTGTCAGAAGTTAGCCTTATTGATCTTTTTTTAATTGACATATTTCTTAATTAGCTACCTTTGTTTCTCCGTTTATTCTTAGGGGGGTATATACACCTGTTGTTCTACAACTTACTTGATTATTCATTAAAGGCAATTCAAAGAAACCCTTGTCCCTGCTATGTTACGGTTCACATTTCATTACTCATTACCACTACCTAACACTCGTATCTCTCAAAAAATCTTTGTAGTAGCAAAGAAGATAGAGTAAAAGGAAGGAGAACAAATTTAGGAAAGCAAGAAAAAGACAAAGAGTGAGAAAATAAGAGATCTAGGAAAGCAAGGTGACATTGATGCCTACTAAGAGTAGTGTGCTACTCATCCTACTCATCAGAGCTTCCTGGGTCTGCAAGAGACCTGGAAAGGAAAAGGGGAAAATGATTCCTGTAGTTTTTCCACTAAGGAAGTAATGGATAAATTACAAAGGGAAAATGGTCTTCTCTGAAAATGCAGCAAACTTAATACACACTTGGATGCATTATTATTTCACTTCTTATTAATGTTAATGCTCTCCTCTCAGAAAGCTCTCCTCTCATAAAAAAAAATATATGCTAATTGCAATATTATGAAAACAATTTGATCACTACAAAAGAGGAATGTCAACTCAAAGAACAGACCAGGTGTGTAGATTCATTTGCATTTCATGGCAACATGTTGGAAACCAGCCTGCATAAATTATGTGCAAACACCAAACCCTCAAAGAGACACATGCTTTAGCAGTGGAACACAGCACCAACCACTCTCTCAGCATATCCTATTGCTGACAAAACACCTACCTTCTACAGTGGCTCGCTTGGGCTGGATGGTGATGGCTCCTTCTGCAATATCTTCATGCTGGTGTAGAGGGTTTATTTTGGATCCCCAGCTGTCTGATCCCACCCAAAGAAAATGTCCCACTTGGTCAGCTCTTTTGGCTGCTGCAAGAATTTGCCTGTGGAAAGGAATATAAAAAGGAACATTAAAATAATAATAATAATAATAATAATAAGGAACATTAATGATAAATAGCAGAAGCTGGACATAAGCATATTCAAAATCAAGTAGAAGGAAAGCAAGCTATTTTTCTCAAAAAGTAAATAATTGATGACAACAAAAAGCATGCCAAAGGATTTATATGCCTACTAAGAGATTTTGCAAACCAATAATAAAAATTTCAAAGCATCTCGAATAAAATAGTCAAAGGACATTTAAAAAAAAAATCAAATTATAAAGAATTATAAATGCCCAATAAGCTGGATATACATATGTCATAAAGAAAGGGAATATAAACTAGAACCAAGATAGCAAATTCATGTCCTATTTGGGACTTTTTTTTTAGTTTGCACTTGGTGCTGAAGAAAAGACTTCCATTTACAATTGGTGGTGTCATTTCAAGAAAGCAATATGTTCACATAAATCAAAGTTATTTATTAAAATAAACAATTTGACATTAAACAAAAAATTATAATCTATTTATGGATTAAACTACTTTATAAATAGCAAAGACAGTAAGAGTAAATGAAAGAAAAAAGAAAAGTAGTTATTAATGGAAAATCATTATAGTAGTATTTTTGGAAGAAGAGGGATGAGAAGTAATTTTGTTTTCAGAACACACACACAAAAAAAGTACAACTAAAGCTCCTTTGGTGGGTAATGCAACAGGGAAAAAAAGAAAAAAAAAAAAAAAACTTGTTGGCCTCACCGGATTTGAGGTTACCAGAGGTATAGAACTAAAAACAAAAGGACTGACTTAAAGCATGTACAGGAAATGACAAAAAGCCAGCTCATTTCTTCAAGTCAGGAAAAGGAATGGTTATTTTCTTAAAAAGAAATGTAAACAATGGATTCTGATATTATGAACACTCAATAAAAGATAAGAGTTATATAAAACATGACTGCAAATTAGTGCAACCTTTCTGGAAAGTAGTGTGGAAATTCCTTTGAAAAATGGAAATGAAGTATAACCCCCACTCCTTTGTATTTACACAAAAGAACTGAAATCTGCATCGTGTAGTGATACAGCCATATCAACGTTTATAGCAGCAGAATTCACAATAGCCAAATCATGGAATCAACCCAGAAGGCCATCATAGATGAAAGGATAAAGAAAATATTGCATATATACATGATGTAGTTCACTCATAAGGAAGGATGAAATTATTGCATTTCCCAGTAAATGTATGGAACTGGAGAATATCATGTTAAGTGAGATAAGCCAGACACAGAAAAATCAAGAATCAAATGTTCTCTCTCATTATGTGGAAGCTAAAGCAAAATAAGGGTAAGCAGAGTGGGGGAACAGAAATTCATAAAGATGTAGGGAAGATCAGTGTAGTAAAAGAAGGAGACTGAAAGGGAGGAAGAATAGGAAAGGGAAGGAAATATAGAAGAATAAATTTAACAAAATCATGCCATGTACATTTATAAGCATACCACAGTGAATTCCACCTTTAGATATACCTATAAAGCACCAAGCAAAAAATATATGAGGGAAAGGAAAACCAATAAGGTAGAGTAAAGAGAACAGGGGGAAGGAGAAGGGGAGGGAAAAGGTGTGGAGTCCCAGGACTAAAAAGAAGTAAATCAAATTCCTTGCATGTACGATTTTGTCAAAATGAACTCAAGCATTACATATAACTATAATGCACTATGAAAATTAAAAAATAATTATACAACAACAAAACCCATTGAGGTAAGGATGGGAAGAAATGTCTACAAATCAATATATTAAATATTGAAATGGTAAGACGTCACGAAATATTCAACTTCTGCTTACAGAGCACAAAAAACCAGGAAAAAAGTTTGTTAAGTTCTGAACCATCTCAGAGGAAAGACCTGAGATACTGACTTACAGGAAATCCCTCAACAGAATGACCAGTTTGATACCTGACCAGCCCAATGGGGACCCTTAGCTGGTAAGTGTAGCCCAGGTACACAATGGAGGACCACAATGCCTAAATGAAATGTGAATGGCCTGAAGTTCCCTTAACTATAGAAAATCTCCTACATAAAATAGAATAATAAACAAGAAAAAAGACATTGGTGTGGTATGGGGAAGAGATAATATATGAAAAGACCAAAATAACAAATACATTTAATTGAAAATTTTCACTTGTGTAAACAGCAAGATGAAACAGTAACACTATGAAACAGCTCTTCCAAAAAATATGAAATCAAAATTATATTTGAAGAGATAAAAGAAAAAGTTTAGGAAACACTGCAAAAAGTAAAACAACCAAAAATAAATAAGAAAAAAGTGTTAAAAAATAGATATAGGAAACCCTATATCCAAGTAACATTTGCAGAACAAATATGTGATGATTTTTTTTTTTTTTTTTTGTCCTCTGGGGATTAAATTCGGGGACACTCAACCACTGAACCACATTCCCAGCCCTATTTTGTATTTTATTTAGAGGCAGGGTCTCACTGAGTTACATAGAGTGCCTTACTTTTGCTGAGGCTGGCTTTGAACTCAAGATCTTCTTGCCTCAGCCTCCCAGATAATTTTAACTTTTTTATTAATTTTAATTTAAATAATTTTTTAATTTTAATGTTTTTTTTACAGAAGAAAAATCCAAGAAATTGAAAGGCCTGGATTTCCAAAATAGGAAAGATAAAATAGTGTAAAAATGGGAGAAAATAAAGAATATTACAAAAATTCAAGATGACTGAAAATAATGAGTATTCTGAAATCATTCAGAGAGAAAGGACACGTGCAGAGAAATAAAAAGATCAATTGCTCAAGTGCAAAAACGAAAAAAAAAATGAAGGATGAGACAGCAATGATGCATTAACTCCAAATTTTGGGGCAAAATTTGTTGTTTAACCCAAAATAATATTTAAAAAGTAAATAAAAACCCCAATGCAAAGAGAGTTTGCATGCATGCCAAGTGGGTCTTATAGGTTTTTCCATGCTAAACCAGAATTTCACAACCTCTACAAGCATGAACTTCTCTTTAAGCACCTACAGATATTTGTTGTAAATCATTTATGGGCTAGATATGGTGTATTTAAGAAAAAAATACATGAGAACACTTTTAACACCCCAATTGTATTCAGTATAAAAACAAGTTTAGTCATTAAATATACAAAGATGTTTTAATTTACTCTTTTGAAAAATTTATTAGAGAATGTGCTCTAGGGATATGAGAAAATAAACCAAGAATAAAAATCACTACAGAGCCAGGAAAAATCATTGAGAAAGAGCGTGTACACATGAGTGAAAGAACAAGCAAGAGAAAGAGTGAGAGAGTTTGAAACTCTTGACAGTAACTGGTCCAAATTAAGAGAATGATGGAGATTTCAGGAAGGATGTGCACAGGAAAAAATAATGGAACTTAGATTTTTTTTATATATGAACATATAGCAAAAAGCAGTAGACCTATGAGGTCAACCAAAAAATATTAAAGAAGCTTCACAAATAAAAAACATTGTCATGGGGCTGGGGATGTGGCTCAAGTGGTAGCGAGCTCGCCAGGCATGCACGGAGTGCTGGGTTCGATCCTCAGCACCACATAAAAATAAAAGATGTTGTGTCCACCGAAAACTAAAAAAAAAAAAATTTAAAAAATTCTCTTTAAAAAAAAATTGTCATGTTAGCATGAGGAAAAAGCAAAAAGATTTTTCTAAAATACAAGATAATTTAAAAACGATGCTATTGTGTGTGATAATTACATAATCATAATAAACACTTATTTTTATGAAATAAATCTGATAGAATATACTGGGAAGTTAGGAGAGAAGTAAGTGACTTCAATCCTACCAGAAGGGAATTCATTATGCAGATAAGAGCAAAAAAAAAAACGGGGGGCGGGGGGGGGTGCTTAAAGATTAAAGAGTTAAAAATAGCAGGCTGGGGCTATAGCTCAATGGTAGAGCGCTTGCCTTGCACATGTGAGGCACTGGGTTCGATCCTTGGCACCACATAAAAAAAGATTATGTCCATCTACAACTTAAAAATAAAAGTTAAAATAGGCCCATGGTGGTGCAATTTAGTGAGATACTGTCTCAAAAACTAAAATGGGTTAGAGATGTGGCTCAGAGAGTAAGAGCCTCTGGCTTCAATCCCTGGTACAGGAAAAAAAAAAAAAAAAAAAAAAAGCTTTATTTTCCAATTGATTTACAATGCGAACGTTACTTTTATAATCAGAACGGTATTTCAGAAAAAGATTCACTGTTGCCTAAAATCCAAATGATCAATACTCTGAATGATTTAACACTTAGCTTCAGAATCTAGATACTAATGTCTTCTCACTGCTATTCTCAGACCAAGTATTTGAAGTTAATGTTCCAAGAAATCTCAAAATCTCCCATCTACAGTGTAAAGCTTCCGAAACAAGAAATAACAAACATTGTAGGTGATCTGTACTCTTCAGACACCCGTGCTTCTAAGATCACATTTTGGACGAAATATATATGTACTCCATTTTTATCACCATGCTCAAAAACTATGATTGCAGTCATTACAATAAATCACAATATCCAGTAATACTCAGTGCACAGACCAGAACACTGAAAGAATGAACATAATTATTAAGTAAACTACATTCATTCTACATCCAAAATAAACTCATATGCTACCTACAGATCAAACGTATTAGAACTCATCAACAGATCTATCAGTAGTACATTTTGTATGTGCCGAGTGCATTTAAAATAAACATAAGGCCATGCCTTACCAATATGATACAAGTTTTAAAAATGTGTGAAATAGGTATGGGAAGGATTTGAGATAATCAAGGAGGTTATTATTAGTAGCATGGGAAAACAAAGTGTAGCACAAAGACAAGTATAGTAATTACAAACACAGAATTTCAAAAATAACTAAAACACTGATTGAAGAAGAAAATATCCTAAGAACAACACAACCAGCATTTTCTAAGGAGAGAGAGAATATATTTAAGCATAATCAGAAACATTTCCCTAGCATGTATGAAAGAGACTTTGAAGAACAGATATTGGTTCATCAGAAAGAGAAAAGACAAAATGAATAAACGCTATGACGGAGATGCATTTGGGGTGGAGAATTGGGTGTGAGGTCTAAAATGTTAAAGTGGGACATTTTAAATAATTGTGTAGTTCAGAAAGAAAAGTTTGTACTTCCAATCATGAAGTTCTGGCATAAGACTATGTATTTCTTTCATGTATCCAATGCCACTCATTGAGAATCAACTATGGCCTGTGTACCACCACAGGTATTAAAAATACAAAAATCAGTCAAGGGAAGCATTATCTCTATGCTAATAAGGATTACAGATTACTGGAGAATACCGACATTAATTTAGCCACACAATGATATAACACTGCACTATTGGCATAAACTGAAGTATGATAATGAATTTTCCAAAGCTACTCTGTTCCATGATTTCCATGACAAAACAACACTAGAGCTGGAACTAGGGATGAAAAAGGGAAGGAAATGCATTCTAGGTAGGTGGAAGAGAAGGTATGAAGACCTGGGAGGAAGAAAATGCAAACAACCCCTTAAAAGTATTTTCATTGTATTGATGGGAAAACTGAGGACCTGAGAAATTGGGACTTACTGGGAGGAACTTGCCCGAAGTGGGACAGTGCCCATTTAAGTAGTTAAATATTCTCAGATTCAAGTTTAATACTTTTCCATGTCTCAGCCCTGTTGTCCACCTGCAATCAGAGGTTTGTACCAGGATGGATTTATGGGTAGTACATAGACTACACAGACAGCAGAGTAGGGGCAGATGAAGGTACAAAGTCTGGTTACTGGCAGTGCATAGATCCAAACAAATTGTGATCATGGCCTGGCCCTGTCTTTTTTTTTTTTTTTTAATTTATTTTTGTTTTCCTGTGGATTAAACAAAGGGCCTCACAGGTGCATGATAAGCTCTCTACCAATGAGTTAAAACCCCAGGCCTTGAGCACTACAACTTTACCCAATAAAAGATATTTGCCGTCACATTCAATGATATATAATTTTGAACTACCAGATAGACAATGATTTAAACGAGTACTTTCACATCAGTGAATCAAAAACTGGCATGTCTCTAGGAGACAGTATTTTAAGGAACACATCTTTATCCTAGTACTTTCATTTCAAGGACTTTATCTTATCATACTTATTTATTTATTTAGGTACCAGGGATTGATCCCAGGAGTGCTTAACTACTGAGCCTAATCCCCAGACCTTTTTAATATTTTTATTTAGAAATAGGGTCTTGTTGAATAGCTAAGGGCCTGGGCCTAAGTTGCTGAAGCTGGCCTTGAACTTGTGATCCTCCCGCCTTAGCCTCCCAAGCTGCTGGGATCATAAGCAGGCACCACTGCACCTGGCTATCTTATAATTCCTTGTAATATAAATATATAATATTTTTGTATCATATTATTCCTGAACAAGGTATATAATACACAAATGTTTACATGTTAATAGATTTATATGTTAAAGTCTATAATCAAACTTAAATGTCATCAACAAGGGGACATTTAGATAAGTTAATTATATATGTAAAATAAAATTCTGCATGGCTATTCAAAAGACTACATCTATCAGGTACTGAGATCCTCAGTGAAAAAAGCCTGAGCAAAGACATTCAAGGTGCAGAATAGGTACAGGTAGTTCATGTATTATATTTAAAAACAAGAACATAAGCACAAACACAGTATCTCTAAGAATGATCTAACAAGAGGCTAGAATGATCTAACAAGAACTGAGAGACAAGATAAATTATATTTTACCTTCTAGCGTGGATACTTACAGAGTTGTTTTACTTTTGAATCAGGTATAATTACCATTTATTCTATAAAGATAAAAAATAGATCCTGGACCAGATTGGGAGTGATTAGAAAAGGAAGCAGGGGACATCATGTTCTAGAAAGACCGGCTTTACATGGTTTGCCTACAAATCCAAGGAATTAGGGGAAAAGGGAAGATTATAAGTAGCTTTGTGTAGACTGAGGGAGAGGGAATAAAGACATGAGAAGGAAAAAGGGGATTCAGGAATCCACAGATAGGATAAGTTTTGTTCTGAACATAAGAGATTAAGGCATTGCCAATAAACTAGACTTATAAGACTTTACTAACATTAACAGGACATTCTTTAGATAAAAACCTACTATATCTGGATATGCTTTAAAAAGTTTAGTGTTTTTTCTTCTTTTTAATAACTGAATACGTTTATTTTCTAATAGAAAAGACAGAACACGAACAAGGTGCTATATCCATGGGAGAGTACAGCTCCCTGTGAGGGAATAGAAAGCACAAACAGATACTGCCATTGTATCATTACGGCTTTGATCCTATCAGTCAGCATCCTGGTCTTTCTGTCTCCTATAGCTGCAACATGCATATGAACATATTTCACCAATAATCCTTACTTTATATCCTCATCGTTGGCAAAAATCACGACGGCCCTGGAGTTGGGGGTGTCCAGGAGCTGTTTGATAATCCTATCAAAGTCAATGGTCCTGTCTTTGCGCTCTTGGGGTATTCTCACGGACTGGGCAATGCAGAGCCCACCTGTTCAAGAGAAGAAAGCAGAGTGTCAATAAAGTTCCCAAAGAGATACGAAAGGAACCAGGGAAGGTAAATGGGGAGGAGAGAATCCTAATTGCACAGCGCTTTCCTGGTGACGTACATGGCTTTGGAAGGCAAAAGACATGATGCTGTCTATTGCTCATAGTTCATGTACTTGTCATCGGGCTGTAAACCTCCCTCTCTATGCAATGCACTTGTAAATGTCTAATTATACCTAGGAATACCAGGGATGTTAATTCTGAGTAGATAGGCAACAGTGGCAGATAAGGTGGGCAGGTGGGAGAAGGTGATATGTTACACTAAAATAATAAAGAAAAATGGAACACCTAAAGCTCATGTTTTTCTGAATTTTCCAGTTTGGTGTGAAAGGAAAAAATTTACTGAGAATCCCCAATCTAAATTTTCAAAACTCAGTTCCAGTGAAATAAATCTAAAAGGAAAGCAAGAACATCAACTACTATATATCATAGTGTACACACACCATTTTTACATATGTATCTTATGCTATCTCATTTTATCCTCTTAAAACTCTTATATAAGGTACATACTATTACATATTTTATCTTCTGGAAAAGGTGGACCAAAGGATTTTTTTTACTCCATACTTCACAGAGTAATTATGATAAAAATTGATATTATGGATTTCAAGGTGGGAAAATATTCAATAGGTTACTAAGCAATTGGTAAACTTCTTCCTGTTCCACCTCCTGCTTAGTGATTGTTTCAGATTGTAATATTTTTTAAAACACACTTTAAGAAAGGTAAGTGTAGGTGAAAGGTGTAGAGTATATTTGTGGGAAAGACTATAAAGTCATTCAAGGGGCAGAAGACTTAGAGGTAGGGACAAGAAAAATGTCTTACTCTATAGACAGCTGTAGTTAGCAAGTTTACACTTTGCATAGACAAATGGTTGTATGTTACTAGGTATCCATAAATACAGGAAATATGAACCTGAACTCCAAATTGAGCATTTATTACACTTTACTGTCAATTAGTGTTAGTTCTAAGTGGCCCTCAACCTGCAGAGTGCCTGAAATTATCTGTTGTCCTGCTTCAAAATATTGCTAATAATACTATCAATCAACTTGACTTCACTGACATCTCTAGAGCAATCCACATAACCACAGAACAGCCCAGACTCTTTTCAAGTATAAATGGAACATTTACTGTGACAGACCATTATATGAACGTGAACTCCAGTTCAAGGCCATTATTGGTGGGGGGGGGGGGGGGCTTAAAATTAGAAAGCATAGAAATCATACAAAGTATGTTCTCAGATCATAACAGGGTCACAGAAGAAATTAATAAAAAAGATAACAGGAAAATTTAAGTACTTGGAAATTAAACAGCATACTTTTAAATGACCCCCAAGTCCAAAATAAAGTGCCCAAGAAAATTTAAAAACAGTGAACTGAAAATGAAACCTCAACATATCAAATTCATAGATTACAGGTAAAGCAGTGTTCAGAAGGAAATCACCATTATTCAATTATCTTAGAAAACCTGAAATCAGCAACCTAAACTTCTACTTCAAGAGAAAGGGTGAATAAATACCCACAGAAGGCAGAAAGAAATAATAAAAATGAAAGCAAAAGTCAATGAATTTGAAAACAGAAAAAAATAAAAACAATGAAATCAACAGTTACCATTTTGTTAGGATCAGTAAAAATTTACAAATCTTTTGACAGGCTGATCAAAACGGGAGGGATGGCAAATGACTGAATGAGGAATGAAACATAATACTGTCGAACTTACCCATGGATATTAAAAGTTAATAAGAGGGTATTACAAATAACTTTATGCCAATGAATTCAGCTATGTAAAATTAAGAACTCTGAAACACACAAATTTTCATAACTAGACGAAGAAAAAATATATATGTAGAATCCTGGTATAAATTAAAAATACCAAATTCACAGTTTAAATTTAAAAAAAAAAAAAACTTCCAAAAAGAAGATTCAGACTCAGATGGTTCCATTCATAAAGCCTACCAAACAATGAAGGAAGAAATAATCTCAAGAAATAGAAGAGCATATATCATTCCATGAGTTCAGAATTATGAAATAACTAAAATAGACAATGTTTACATAATAAAGTGAAATACAGTAATAGAGTGCAGTGGCCAGGACAGACTAAAGATCTGTGGCCTGCTAGGTGGCTTGCTTGAGCCAATATTATAGCTGCCACCAAACTTGGATTCACACCTGCTATTCTACATCATGGAGGACCCAGAGACGAGCACCAGCAGATAAAAATGTGACCATCTTGAGAAAATAAGATTTTGGGGCACAAGGAACTAGGCCACCAGAAGTGACAAGAAGAAAACTGGGTCCCTAGACACAGTATACCCCAAGAGAAAAATGGAGCAGTTACACTAGCAGGAACTGGAGAAGTTCCCAGAGAACTTTACTACCAATATCAACCTCAAACCTGTCACTGAAGATATGGCTAAGACCCATCACCAGGTCCTGTCTCCCACCACTGCAGCAAGAGATACCTTAAATTATAAAGAGGTCCCCGAGTACTTTGATGAATGTTTTCCCATCAAAATGTGTGTGGCTCCAAATTAATTTTAGTTGTTCGATGTTTGCTAAATTCTAAATAAGAATTTCGAAGGTACATATGACCATTAAATACGGAAAGTAAATTAATATAAACTGATAGGCTCGGTAAGATTTACTCTAATATGTAAAAGGCCTGAACTCCATTTCCTTTATTACACATAAGAAGGGATATAACTATTCAAATAGTAGACTCATTTCATAATTTGCACAATTGGTATACAGAAAAGAGTTTTTCTGTAAGTTTATGTAAGTTTAACTTACAGAGGGATAAAGACCTTCATCTAATAAGTTTCCTTTATTTTTAGAGATACAAAAGACTATCACTTTGTTCACGTAGTGGATACCTTGTTATGTAAATTGGTATGAACTGTGAAAGTTCTAAACTTAGCAACTCAATTTTTGGAGACAAAAGTATTTAAAAAGAAATTTCAGGGGCTGGGGTTGTGGCTCAGCAGTACAGCACTCGCCTCACATGTGCCAGACCCTGGGTTACATCCTCAGCACCACATACAAAAATAAACAAGTGAAATAAAGGTGTTGTGTCAACTAAAAAATAAATATATATATATAAAAAGAAATATCAGAAATATTAAAGTAGTTGATCTGTTTTATCATGCCAAAAACTGGTAAGAGGCAAAAAGTAAAAGTGACCAACATACTTTGGTGAATATGAGAGACATATTGGTATTTTGAATTGGCCAGAAGTAAATTGATTACTTTCAGGAAACATTTTTAAATTTATCTTCAGATCCTATATTTCAGCAAAGTTTCTTAATTTATAAAATTCTTTGTACATTCCTAATGTTCTAAAACAAAAATGCCCAAACTCAAAAAATATGCAATTTGATGAAATAAAACCAATTAATTTTTTTTAAAAAAGAAAAATTCAGATCAATTTTATTCATGTGCTTATGTGCTAAAGTCCTTGAAAATATCAACAAATCCAGCAACATGCAAAGAAATTGTAACATATTATGACTGAGTATGTTTCATCCAAGGAAGATAAGGCTGATTCATGATTTGAAAAAAATCAATGATTATAACTCACATGTTGTCAGATTAAGAAAACCCACATAATCTTCTCAATACATGCAGAAAAAGTACCAAACAAAATTTACTGTTCAAAGTAAAAACCATAAACTAAGGTTAAAAGTAAAATTTTTTAGTGTAACATGCATCTACAAAAAACCCATAGGGAGAATCATAATTAATAGTAAGAGAACTAACTTACCTAACTATGGTTAGTTAGGTAAGGTTATCCTCTCCAACATTGTATTGGATGAGGAAAACAAAGAAAAAGTACACAGTTTACAGAGGAAAAAATAAAGTTGTTTCCATTTGCAGATGACATAATTATATAGAAATCACTGACTTCCCCCCACCCCCAACCAAACATCTCCATCAAATACTAGAATCAAGAAAGGTGGCAGGATATGAACTCAACATACAAAAGTCAATCAGGTACCATACATTAGCAATGATCAGTTTACATTATAAATTTAAAACAATGCCATTCACAAACACTACCACCAAAACCATGGAGTCCTTATATATGAAAGTGTGGAGAATTTGCAAACTGAAAATCTCCCGAACATCGTAAGTACAACACAAAATCTCAATGAATTTTCTAATCTGTGTTAATTTTAACAGTTAACTCTACATTTATATGAAAACGCAAAAGAACTAGACTAGCAGAAAAAATTCTGAAAAAACAAAATTGGAAGCCACATGGCTGTGCGTGCCTATAATCCCTGCAACTCAGGAGCTGAGACAAGATCACAAGTTTGAGGGCAACCTCAGCAACTTAGTGAGATCCTGTCTCAAAATAAAAAATAAACTAACTAGAGATATAGCTCAACACCCTGGATTCCATACTTAGTACTACAAAATAACTAAAAAGAACAAAACTGGAGTCTCGAAGAACCAAGTCCAAGACTTCATATAAACCTACAATATTCAGGGGCTGGGGATGTGGCTCAAGCGGTAGCGCGCTCGCCTGGCATGTGTGCGGCCCGGGTTCGATCCTCAGCACCACATACAAAGATGTTGTGTCTGCCGAAAACTAAAAAATAAATATTAAAATTCTCTAAAAAAAAAAAAAAAACTACAATATTCAAAAGACAGTACAGTATTGATGAAATTATAGACACTTAGGTGAACAGGAGAAAACAGACTCAGAAATACACCAGAACAGCTACCATCAGCTGACTGTGAGGAAAGTTACAAAGGAAATTAAAAGAAAAAAAGACTGTTCATCATATGATGCTGAAATGGTATTCACATGCAAAAATAATGAATCTTGACAAATACCTAATAATCTATACAAAAATTAACTCTAAATTATTGTAAAACACAAAGCTAGAAAACTTAGAACAAAAAGGGAATCTATTTAACCAATTTTGGGATCTGACATCAAAA